AAATAATGTTCTTTTTAGCAGCATCATATGACCCCTTTAATCAGTTAAGCTCCATTTTCTTGAAAATATTGTAAATTCTTGGCATGAAAATATTGGTATAGTATCATGAATTAAAATATTGCAATATATGTCTCCTCCCTTTTTTAAACAATATTTAACATTTACATTTTTAAATACTAATTGGCCAAATTTTTGTATAGCAACCATTAAACTGTAAAATTGTCAACTGTCCCTGGGAACAATTTGCTACTTAGCTGTGCTAGCATATGTAGCAGCATTGAATAGCCTAACATAAATAATTGCAATGTTATTGCTGTGTGACCCAAGTATCAATATAATATTGTATCACCAGGTCCCTGCCGATTCCCTTAAAGGAAAAGTTCACCAAAAATAAAATATATATTTTTAAAGTCAGTGGAGTCCAAACAGTATTGGACTGCTTTGATTTTCATTGTATGAACTAAGACACTGCGACATAAATATCTTATTTTGTGATCCACAGAAGAATCTGTAAGAAGCTTACAGGTTTACAATAATGTAATAATGGATAGAGATGACACAATTTTCATTTTCAGATGAACTATCTCTTTAAGTAAAGCAAATGTGCTTGAGGTGAACCTTGTGTTGAATTTCATTTACATGTGTTGAATTTCATTTACATGTGAAACAAACGTTCCCCTCAGACCAGTACAGACAGTTGTTTTGTCCTCTACTGCCACTGGACATATAAGAAAGTCGAGCTGTGCTTGGGGGAGTCACAGGGTTATGCATTACAGTGTGTGAGCAGTATATATTTTATCTCTGTGATACACATCTGTGTGTGTGTTATTCACTCTCAGCTTAGTGAGGTTTCCTGGAGGATGAAACAATGTAACTGTCATGATTGACTCTCGGATCAGTTCAACAGACACTTCATTATTCAAGGAGAGAAGCACAGCAAGCCGTCCCCCCCCCCCCCCCCCCCCCCCCCCTCCCCCGGATCAGTTCAACAGACACTTCATTATTCAAGGAGAGAAGCACAGCAAGCCGTTTCCCCTCTCTCTCTCGCTTCCTCATTCCCTCACACCTCTGTTTTTCTGTCTCTCTCTCCCTCTCTCCAGTGCCGGCTCTCCAATCTTCCTTTCGCTCAGTTGTTGACAAGCAATTTGAAGTGAGCCTAAAATTAAACTCTATTCTGGCATTTGGGGGTGCTGGTGAAGAGGGGAGCAGAGATTCCAGCTCCGGCCCTCTGTGTGGGAGTGTGTGTGTGTGTGGGAGTGTGTGTGTGTAAGTGCAACCGGCTGGCTGGGCGATTGATGTGATAGTTTTGTGGCATTGGTTATTCCTGCTTGCAGAAGCAGGGTGTAGTAGCTGCACTTTAGCTAGATGGCTTCACACGCATGTTGTTGAAACGCCGGTTCTGTCAAGAGTAATAAGGTACGCGAGTTCAGTGTTTTCAAAATCACTTCAGTTTGGAGGAAAGTTAGACTGAGTGGGGTCGCTTCCAACTTCTGTGACAGTTCTCGTTTTCAGTCGGTGCTGATTTTAATGAGTTTCAGCCCAACACTTTTGGCTGGTTTTGTAGTCTGAATATTTTTAACATTTATTAGTGTAAGAGCTTAAAAAGTGACAGTTCACCCAAACATGTAAATTCTGTCATCATTTACTCACCCTTGTTTCGTTCCAAACCTGTATGACTTTCTTCTTCTGTGGAACACAAAAGAAAATATTTTGAAAAATGTCTGAATGTTGTTTTATCCTTACTATGAAAGTAAATTGCATTGAACTGCATTGACTTTCATTGAATGGATAAAACCAGTTAAAACATTTTTGAAAAAAGCTTCTTTTATAATAGTCTTTTGTGGACGTTTGTTGCTTATGCACACTGTATGTATAGAAGGCCTAAAGGGACATGCATTATTGTTTTTCTGTCTTGTTTTCTTGTGATCTGTAATTTTGAAAAAAGTTTTTTTTTTTTTTGGTATTGATTTCTCAAACATTATTCTTTTATTCGTTTGTTGCTTATGCACACTGTATGTATAGAAGGCCTAAAGGGACATGCATTATTGTTTTTCTGTCTTGTTTTCTTGTGATCTGTAATTTTGAAAAAAGTTTTTTTTTTTTTTGGTGTTGATTTCTCAAACATTATTCTATTATCATGCAGATGTTCGTTTCCCTTGAATTGGCTCATAATGAAAATGAAAACACATGTTCAGAGTCTCTATAGTGTTTAAAACAGTAAAGTTGTAGCTTCCTTCACGAATGTCATACAGTTAGACAGTAAAGTGCTTTATCACTGACAGACATAAAAACGTTTCAGCTTCAATGAGTTGCTGAAATAAACTCACATTTTCTCATCCATGTTGCAGTAGTATGAGCATAGAAATGGCCAAGAAAAAGCAATAGAAAGCAACTTTTGTTATTTAAAAAATCAGAAGAACATAGTTGAGGTTTTAATAAAATGTCAAAATCATGAGAGAATTAAGTTGAGATCTTGAGAAAACAACTTCTGTTGTCAAGATCACAAGAGAGTTAAGTCTGTATCTCCAGAAAACAACCTTTTTTTTGTGCGTGTGTGTTTTCTGGTGTGAATTCATCTATCCAACAAGTCATTTCAATGTCTGACCAAGAACATTTGCTTTAGTCTTACATGATAAACAATTTTTGTGGGTCGCTTCTTGATGTAAAGTCTGTGAAAGCAATTCCGTCTTACTAGTTCAAAAGTTTGGGGTTAGTAAGATTGTTTTATGTTTTTTTTTTTTTTTTTAATTCTCTTATGTCCACAAAGGCTGAATTTGTTTCATAAAAAAATACAGTAACATCAATATTATAAAATATAATTACAATTTAAAATTTCAGCAGCCATTACTTCAGTCTTCAGTGTCATATGATCCTTCAGAAATCATTCTAATATGCTGATTCGCTGCTCAAGAAACATTTCTTATTATTATCAATGTGGAAAACAGTTGTGTTCCTTAATATTTTTGTAGAAACCATTATATATATATGGATTCTTTGATCAATAGAAGGTTAAAAAGATCTATTTTCTATTTGAAATAGATTTTTTTATAGATAACATTATAAATGTCTTTACTGTCACTTTTGATCAATTTAATGTGCCTTTTCTGAATAAAAGTATTAATTTCTTTCAAAAAAAAAATCTTACTGACTCAAAACTTTTGAACAGTAGTGTATAATATTGAAGTATTATGTTTTAAACATTTGTTTCACTGCTGTAGGCTAAGTGCATTACTGCAAACAAATTTGACAGCATGCCACGTCACGGATGCTGTAGATAGAGCTCAAGTTGTATTTAACCCAGAATCTCATATTCCAACTAATCTGTCTTAATCTATTCTTTTTGAGATTTAACCTCTGTGAAAGAGTCATGTAGTCCACTGTCCACCAACTCATTCGAAACGACTGCTGACTGCCTGGGACTGTCCAGATGTCTTCCTTTTAACTAATGTGCCTCTCTCTCTTTTCTTCTTCCTCCGCAGATAAACCTGTTCACTTCACACCGGCTCCTCCTCCTGATGGTAAGTCCCATAAGAATTCCCCCCGACCAGAGTGTTTTCAACCTGCCCAGATAATGATCTCAGCTCAGGCCCGTTTGCTGTTTGAAGTGGGCATCCTCGCCTGGTCGCTTCCCACCACCGGCTTGTGTGCAGCCTGTTAACATGGTCAGCGAGAAGCAGGGAGGGACATCTGCTTTGATGTAGAAATCTCCTGACATCTTGATTTATCTAGACTGGTGGGATGCAGGGTGGCTGACTTCTCCGGCATGCTGCTAAAGTTTTCCCACATCCCCCTGGGACGCAGCTTCGTTTATTACTGAAGCTGATTAGCCGATTGCTTTTGCCATGTTTATGAATATAAATCTCAATATTAATTGAGGTATTGTTTCTCTTGTTCTCACCATGCACTGAGAGTCATTAATTATACAACAACAATTTATTGGCAAATGGCATATCTCTGCACAGATTAATTGGGAGAAACAGCTGGTTTCCCCACTCTGTTAATGAATATTTATATGCGACAACATGAAATGGGCTTTGGAGGTTACTCCTGAGCTGCTGGCAGTGGAGATGCTTCTCTTTATGAGCTGGAGGGAGCTCCATTATGGACACCGTCGTAAATACTCGAACAAAACAGCTGCGTGTGTGTGGGTGTAGTCGGTATTAATGTACTGAAATTACATGTGGTATAATTAACTCCATTGCACACGTGCAAACATTTTGAAAGTTTTCAGCGTGGCTGTTTGCACCGAAGCAGACCTGAATGACCAAAGGAGCAGCAAACAAACCGTAATAATGCTCTGAGAGCAATTCTGTGTTCATTTTTACATATTTTTATGATTTAGTTATGGTTTTTGTATATTGGTGAAAATATTCTTTAAATTTAGTCAATATTCATTGTCATTTTTTTTATAGACTGATTATGACATTTAATTTTAGATTTAATTTAATAGAGCATTGTCAGTGTTATTTTAGTATTATGTACTATTATAGTAATTTTTAGTATTTTGTATTAGTTTTTATATTTATATTTTCAGTATTTATTTTAGTATTAGTAATTTTGGCTTTTGTAATTTTTTTCTTTTTTTTTGTCTAATTTTAGTACTTCAACTTCAACTTTTTTTTCAGTTAGTTGACAAGGCAACATTGCTTTTTTAAGTTTCAGTTTATCTAATATTTATATTTTATTTTATTTCAGCATATTTCAATTAACAAAAACTATTTTTAATGATTGTATTTTATTTTAAACACTGAGCAATGATGACGAGATTAAACAAATGCAAAATTAAGCCAAATATTCAAATATAAATATAATAATATGTGTTTGTATGTAGACGAATTGTGATTCTAAATATATTTTAAAACATTTATTTATTAAATTTGTTACAGAGAGCACAGAATTTTAAGTTCTGCATTTGCTCCATATCCTGTAAGTTTGTTTGTGTTGTGTGTGTGTGTATATATCTGATCAATCTCATATATAGGATGTGTTTAAGTGTGTTAATTAATCTGTTAGTAAAGCACTTCAGTTCACCAGTATTCATTCACTGTTCAGCTTCAGCTCAGACAGGTCAATTCCTGACATTATTGACTATGATTTGGTTAATATAAAAACAATCGTGCTCTTTCTAGATTTTTTTCCCCCCAAAAAACATTGTTAGTGCACAGTTAATCTTGCAACTTTTTTTCTTACTGTTTTCATCAACAGTACATTTTAATTAAACACATTTAATTAGCATTACAATTCATCTTTGTAATTGTTGACCAAAAAACTTTGTTAACAAACACTTTTATCAGTAATTTTGTTGAGATTACAAATGCATTTCAAGAAACGGCTCTGTTGGGTCTAGGCTCGATTTGCACAATAATTGCCCAATCACCTGCTTCATAGCATGTTCTGTCTGAGGGTTTGAGGAAAGGCTTGTGTTAAAAATCAGGCTTTAAGATTTTATTCCCCTGCATCTACAAGACTACAAGACAATAGTTATTATCTCCTTGAAATGCTGTCCATGCAGCACTGCTGGGTAATTATGTCTGATTGATGATTTGATTAACCTTACTCCTTACCAAGAGATTGGAAACTCATAAAATTTTACTTAAAATGTATACATCTGACTCGTAGAGAAATAGAGGCAGTATACACTTCTAACTGCTTTTTAATAGAAGTTTAATGACATTAGAGATTGCTTTGAAAACCTGCAGTTCTGAGAGAAATTGCGAGGCGCCGAGTGAAGTCGCAAAACTCCATTCCCCCTTTGATGCTTTGGGCTATTGATCACACCACACATTTTCGATACATGGATGTTTCTTCTTCCCCGCCTGTTTGTTTCCGCTCTAGCCGAGCGTTTAAAAGCCGCAGCCAGCTCTTAATTACATTTCCGATTGTTGTGTGAGTTCTCAGACGGCCGGTTCTTTATGTGCCAGACCTACACAAGCCCACAGAAAAGCTCTCCTCCCGGCTATCTCATCCCCTGCCCCGCGGCCGCTGTCTTCAGAGGCCATTACGCGTCAAGGGAGATTGGTTGTCCAATTACACTTCCATCTCCAATCCTTCATTGCCATATTAATTCGTTACAAGACTGAGATGTACTTATATAAAAGCCTATGCATTAGGAAAATGAGCATGAGAGGGGAAACATGTCCCCCGTTCCAAGGACGTAATGACATTCCCAGACCAAATTATCCACAGATATTTAATTAAATGGAATCACATCATAGACATACAAGTATCCCGCTATTATAAGCACAATTGCACATCCGTCTTTCGGATGAGACGTTAAACCGAGGTCCTGACTCTCTGTGGTCATTAAAAATCCCATGGCACTTCTATCTTGCAACTTTTTTTCTTACTGTTTTCATCAACAGTACATTTTAATTAAACACATTTAATTAGCATTACAATTCATCTTTGTAATTGTTGACCAAAAAACTTTGTTAACAAACACTTTTATCAGTAATTTTGTTGAGATTACAAATGCATTTCAAGAAACGGCTCTGTTGGGTCTAGGCTCGATTTGCACAATAATTGCCCAATCACCTGCTTCATAGCATGTTCTGTCTGAGGGTTTGAGGAAAGGCTTGTGTTAAAAATCAGGCTTTAAGATTTTATTCCCCTGCATCTACAAGACTACAAGACAATAGTTATTATCTCCTTGAAATGCTGTCCATGCAGCACTGCTGGGTAATTATGTCTGATTGATGATTTGATTAACCTTACTCCTTACCAAGAGATTGGAAACTCATAAAATTTTACTTAAAATGTATACATCTGACTCGTAGAGAAATAGAGGCAGTATACACTTCTAACTGCTTTTTAATAGAAGTTTAATGACATTAGAGATTGCTTTGAAAACCTGCAGTTCTGAGAGAAATTGCGAGGCGCCGAGTGAAGTCGCAAAACTCCATTCCCCCTTTGATGCTTTGGGCTATTGATCACACCGCACATTTTCGATACATGGATGTTTCTTCTTCCCCGCCTGTTTGTTTCCGCTCTAGCCGAGCGTTTAAAAGCCGCAGCCAGCTCTTAATTACATTTCCGATTGTTGTGTGAGTTCTCAGACGGCCGGTTCTTTATGTGCCAGACCTACACAAGCCCACAGAAAAGCTCTCCTCCCGGCTATCTCATCCCCTGCCCCGCGGCCGCTGTCTTCAGAGGCCATTACGCGTCAAGGGAGATTGGTTGTCCAATTACACTTCCATCTCCAATCCTTCATTGCCATATTAATTCGTTACAAGACTGAGATGTACTTATATAAAAGCCTATGCATTAGGAAAATGAGCATGAGAGGGGAAACATGTCCCCCGTTCCAAGGACGTAATGACATTCCCAGACCAAATTATCCACAGATATTTAATTAAATGGAATCACATCATAGACATACAAGTATCCCGCTATTATAAGCACAATTGCACATCCGTCTTTCGGATGAGACGTTAAACCGAGGTCCTGACTCTCTGTGGTCATTAAAAATCCCATGGCACTTCTCGTAAAGAGTAGGGGTGTAACCCCGGTGTCCTGGCCAAATTGCCCCCCTGGCCCTTGTCAATCATGGCCTCCTAATAATCCCCATCCACTTGATTGGCTCTATGACTTTCTCTCCTCTCCACCTGTAGCTGGTGTGTGGTGAGCGCACTGGCGCTGCTGTCCTGTGGCTGCCGTCGCATCATCCAAGTGGATGCTGCACACTGGTGGTGGTTGAGGAGAGACCCCCCCACATGATTGTAAAGCGCTTTGGGTGTACAACAATACACAGTAAAGCGCTATATAAATGCATCATTCATTCATCATTCATTCATTCATTCATTCAATTGAAGTCTTTCCCCTTCAAATGACAGAAACCAATCCATATTGAAGTTTCACCCCACTTTTGAAGCGTATTTGTATGTGCATCTGCCCGTTCCAACTCAATAAAAGATGTTTAATCACTAGCTGAAACCTGACAAAGCAACCTTTAATTAGGATCGTTTTGTAGGCCGTTTGTTCAATGTCTTTAAGCGGGTGTCCTTCAGAGTTTTAGCCGCTCAAGCTGGCATGTGAGCGGCAAACTGAACACTACCAGATTCTCAAACTCAGGGCCGTGTTGCCCACACAGAGGTCATTAGTGTAAGATTTGGCAAAGCTTTGTCCCGTTAATTATCTCTGTGGCATTTTAGAAAGTTGGCTTGAGGAAAACATCTTGCTTTCGATAAAACAAATGTTCCGTTTCTTTTTATCCAGCCCACTTACGACGTTGTGTGCGCCAAGCGATAAACTTGAGGGGATTCTGTACTTGGAATGCCCTTGGTTTGGCTGGGTATTCATGTTATTTTTAGAAGGAGTCAAAGAAACAATGACTGGATTGTGTTGGGTAGTTTATAACCATTAGATCAGATGTTTTTGACTGGTTTGAGAAGATGTCGCCTGTAGCAATAGGTCACCTAGCATTCCCTCTTTAATTTGGGTCATGTTGGAAATGAGATGGTGAGATGCGGACATGGTAACTCAAAACCTCCTCGCTGTCTCCTACACATCTCGACATGTG